GTCTTGGGTACCCTTCAGTGCCATGCCTGTTCCCCAAACTCACTCTTTCTGACTGAAACCTAGGGGCAGCCAGGTGTTTTAGTCTACATTTCCCTGCGACTGTGGTATGGGATAGCTTCTCATCTGCTTGTTTTACCCTTGTATCTTTTCACTGGACAGCTCTATGTTGGACTTGGGGTGTGTTTTTAACTGGGCTGTTGTTTCCTTCTTGTTGAGCATTAAAAAAGTTCATTGTCTAGTTCAGGTATAGTCCTGCATGAGAAGTATCTTCTTCAAACATTTTCACTCAGCCTGTGGCTTCTCTTTTATTTTTCTATTTATAAATTCTTTTCAAGAATTTTCCTTCTGATGGTTATGTGTCTGGGTTTGACAAAGTAAAACCTTTTGCCTGGTAAAGTGTTGGAAGCTTGGCTTCATTTAATGCAAAGAACACTGGGTCATATATTGGAAGATGGACATTCAGCCTGCCTATTCTTGAAGAGCTACTTAACTTCTCTCTTCAGTTTCCACCAAGTAAGAAAGAGCTGTTAATATTTGCCCCTCTGGACAGATGCCTCAGTCAGTAACGCACTTGCCGAACAAACACGAGGACAATTCCCAGAAGTAATCCTAAAAAGAAAAAAAGGCAAGGCAGTATATGCTTGTAATCCCAGCACTGGGGAGGACCTCGGGGCTCTTTAGCCAGCTAGCCTAGCCTGCTTCGTGAGTTCCAGGCCAGTGAGAGACCCTGTCTCAAAAGATAATGTAGATGGTGCCTGGGGAACAACATCCCAGGTTGTCTTCTCTCCTCTCCAAGCATGCACACACGTATAAGATAGACACCTGTACAAAACCACACACACACACACACACACACACACACACACACACACACACACACACACACACACACAGAGGGGGTGGGGGAGCGAGACCTGCCTTGCCTCTCATTGATTTTATTCTGAAGTAACCAGTGTAGGAGAGCAGGGCATGATGGCTTATACTTAAAATCCTCATACTCCAGAGGCTACAGCAGGAGGATTGCCATGGGTTTGAGGCTAGATTGGGCTACATAGTGAGACTCTCTTTAAAAAAAACATGAATTTAGTCTATACATGTAAACTTTTAAGGAATTATTACTTCATTAGTTAGCTTTCCCCACTGTTTTCTCTTCACTTCCAGGATCACACACTTCAGTCTACACTAGAGAACTACTTTCCTATGCACCTAAAGTAGAAGGATGCTCACTGCAGAGTGAGTCAGCCTCTGAATTCACAGGATAACAGGAAGGAAGCTGCTTCTAAACTCCCAGTTATTCCTAGAAAAATAGAGCAGAGCAAATGTTCAAGCTGCACTATTCAGAGTGTGAATTATACACCCCACAATATCATTATCGCTTGGATCTGTAGCCAATAGCTACAACTTCAAGTTATATATCTATCAAATTTTCATTTTATTAATGATGACTCATAATGATTGGATGTCCTCATACTTCCATTCATTAAACTATACACTTGCTGCCTGCGCATGTAAGCTGCCAATTCCAAGTTCACATCCCCCTCAACCATTCTTTAGTTCTCCCTCATTTTGTATTTGTTAACACACACACACACACACACACACACACACACACACACACACACACACACACATACACACACACACACACACACACACACACACACACACACACACACACACACACACACTTTGGAGAACAAGTTTTCTCCTGCACACTGGGGGAGCAGATGCTGTGGAAGTGCTACCCTACCATGCTGCAGAGGCTCTGAGCATTCTTACATTCTGATCTACCCCTGCCATGCCTGCCTTCTGCTGGTCCACACTTCCTCCTCTGGACAGGGAAGCTATGCTGGGAGAGACCAAATGCCTTCTTCACATCAGCTCTTTTCCAAAGGGCAGAACAAGCTTTCAGCATCCATGGCACAGGTTTCTCTGTTTTGGAAGAAGTAGACTTGAAAGATGCCTTGTGTCTGGATCTTCAACATGGGGTAGAATGAAAGAAACAGGTCCAGAAAACAAAACAGAAACGGAGGGGAGCTACTCTGTGGGACCCCAGAGGAAGATTCTCTCGCCCGACCTGTTTTCTGGGTGTGCCCCCATTTCTACTTGGTCCCTCGTGCTGCCTGCCCTTTCTTCCTACTTAGCCATCCATCTCTGCTCCTGTCTGGTTACAGCCAATGTTTATCTGAGTTTTCTTTGTTTTCTTTCTCCCTGATGAGCCCCATGCCACATCCCTGCCAACTTGCGGGGACTACTCTTGCCCTTTCATTTCAACACTGAATGCTCAAACAGGATAATGGTCTCAAAATCAACCCTGTTTACTCCAAATCCTGTGTCCTCTTCCAACACGGTGCCACCTGGAGACCTTCCTCCCTCTTCACCTTCCTCTTAGATCTCTTTTCCTTCCCTCCCTTTCCCTCCCCTTTCCTCCCCTTCCCTCCTATCCCCTCCTCTCTCCTCCCTCCCCTTCCCTTCTTTTCTCTTCCCTCCCTTCCCCTTCTTTTCCCTTCTTCCTTCCTTCACTCAACCATGCTCCTCCTTCCTCATTATAAAATCCATCTTACCTTGACCCCACACTTAAGGGACTGACTGCTCACTGCCTCTCAGAGAGATCCAGACAACTCACATCTATACTAAAGCATCCCTAACATCCCTGCCCACTCCAGCTTTCCACTGCGTGGGGACCACTGCAGAGCATCTGCTGAGTTATCACAGGAGGGCCGGAAGGACGGGTCCATTGGGAGCACCTTTTGGCTGGGATCTTTTCCTGCCCTCCTCCCTCCCCCTCTTCTCATTTCCTTTTCTCTTCTTTCCCTCTGTCCCTTCTCTCCAAACTGTAGACATGTTGCTTACAATGGTGCTTAGCTTCTCATCTAGGAAAAGTCTGGAGTATATAATTTATGACATTACTGTTGCATCATTTAAAAAGAGAACATCACAAATATTCTTTTATTGAAATAATTCTCCTGTTACAAATGGTGGGTGATATGCTTACCTATTAAATAAAAGTTTCCATAAAATCCTGAAGAGTTCCCTTCTAACAATTTCATTTTGGAATGTTTGTGCCCTCTGGTTGGAGTGTGAGCAAGAGTGCCTGGGAAGAAGTCGTGTCCACAAAGACTGAGGGACAGATAAGAACTTCAGTGATGTGGACACATTAGAATGTTGCAACTTCCAACTTAATTATACTTTATCTTGGCCTAGCTACCAACCCAAAAGCTAAGAATGTCATCAGATAGCATCCTAGGCAACGAGACAGATTCCTCCATCTTGCTGTAAGTACCTCTCTGATGTCCCCACCAATGTATTTTTAAAACCCCTTGACTAATAACTGGCTTTGTTCTAACTCCAAGAAACTGCTTCCACAGGGAATGTGGAACCTGGGTCATCTAGCTCCATATTTCCTGAGCTCTGTCCATTCAAGTTTGGCTTCAGAATAATCTCTGATTCTGTTTGAGATGAGAGCTGTGTTTTGCATCAACAGTTGTGTGAATTGTCCAATTACCATGAGACTGAGGCCCTGATGACAACAATCTTCAGTTCTTTGCTCTTTAGAACCGTGAATAGTTAACTATTCTTGCAAGAAATGCTTTGTCTTAGATGCCCAGGTGATGAGCGAAAGTTCTTTTAAAAAAATGTTTCTTTTCTATCTGAAGAACTGAAAACAAAAGAAGAGAAAAATCTTCTTTCTGTTGCAGCAATCCAATGGACCCAGGATTATTTTTCAAAATTCAAATTGTACATTCAGACCCAAGGTGAGCTCCAAGGAAATCATGTAAGGACACTCACTTAGAAAGAAATATGATTATGGTTTGTGATACAAGGAAGGTCTTTTTTTCCCTTACCAAATCACATTTATTCCCAAGAAGAAACTATAACCAGTCAAATAACAACTAAAATTCAAATACAATCAGGACATATTCAAACCAGCAGCCAGGAGCTTGGGAAAAAAAGAAAGAGAGATGAAAGAAAAATCTTTAGACAGATACAAGAGCAATTCTGATGTTCAGTTATTGCATAGAATAGGATATGGGTCTGCTCAGTGCAGTACTTCCAAACAGCACACACACACACACACACACACACACACACACACACACACACACACACACACACATACACACACACACACACACACACACACATACACACACACACACACGCCACAATTAAACTGTGGTGATTTACAACCATTCCCCTTGCAGTGGTATTCCAGAGGGTCATTGGTAGTGGGCTTATGTTGTTTGTTATACACTGCTTAATTTCTATTCCACAGACCAACGCAGAACATTCCCATCCATATTGCATCTGCTGTTGTCTAAGCCCCTCCCTTGGAGCCGACCACTCAGTTTCCATAGTAACTACTATATAACTATGGTTCTGAGGTAGCAGAGAGGAAAAAGAAAAACAGAAGAAAAAGACTAAACCCAAGGAGTTGGAGCATAAAACAATCGCTACCAAGAACTTTTATTTGTGCATCCCTGTCTGCAAGAATACTTTTCAGAGTGATGTTTGCATCCACATAGTAGCTTCATCTCTTAGTGCTTCCATAGATGTGAATGTGCAAACAAACAGTGTCAAGACATTGCAGCCATCCAGAGCCCCTCTGCCCACCATTCATCCTTTCCATGTCGATAGTAAAAGGATGACCTCAAACTGGAGCAGAGAGCTTGCAGCTGGCATGCCCGAATGAGTTAATCTGGCTACTGATGCGTGCATCCATTTGATACCTCTTTTGAGATTTCAGGTAAGTACTTACCATAAGGCAACATCAGTCACCCATGGCAACTTTCCCTGTTTGAAAGGATGGTCTCACCTAGCTCTGGAATTAGCTTCTTTTTCTAACTTGAGAGAGCAAGAGTCCCTTGCTGGGAGTAAAAGGATCTCTTGGGGATTCCAAAGCTGTTTTCTCCCAAGTTCACACTCCTTATTTACAGGCGGAGTTCTTTCTTCGGAGGAAGTTAGAGGATTTGGAAATCTGACCCCACAGGCAGGGTGGTGGCAGAGTGAGGCTGGCTCCCTTTTCAGTCTGAAAATTCGAAAGCAGTGGGGAAGAAATGCTGGACCTATCACAGCGATGCTAACAGACAGCCTATTACAGTATTTAATAAAAACAGAAGCAGCATGCCTGTCATAGGCTAATAAATCCTACCTCCTGCACGCTTTTAAAAACAGTCTGAAGCGGCTTCCACAGAGCTTCAGAGAACTAATCTTAAGCATGGCTGTCTAGCGTGCCCGTCACTCCTATTGTCCTTCCAAACTCTTGCAGACATTTTGAGCGAGGACTACTAAAGCCATGAGTTAGCGAGGGTGTGACATCAATGGTCCACAAAGGCTGCCAGCACGAAGGGTAAAGATGAGTGCCGGTGGCTGTGTGGAGGACTATACGGGATCGCTGCCCTTAAAAATTAAGCGTGGCTTTTGAAGAAGATGTGACAACTACCGGAGGTAGGATTTGCATGTAAAACAAAGGAATCTGTTGCTGTTTGGTGCTTTTTGTTGTTTGATCGGCGCTGGGGTGCTGTGTGGGTCAGAGATTGCAGCCAGGTGCGACGGAGAGACTGGGTCAGCTTGGGGCTCCACGTAGACCAAAACACAAAACACAGTGGCCAGTGTGAGGTTTTATGGCTGGAAAGCCTCGCGGGCGGACACACTGGCTCCCGGCTCGCTCGCAGCCTGCTGAGTGTGCACTCCACGTTGCTTTTCGTGGAGTAGAAGGCTTAGAGGTCATGGGGAAAACAGTTCGTTTCTTACCAGTGGTGCCACATAGGCTTGGGAAGGGGCAATTGAAAGAAGACTTTGGTGGGTAGGAGGCAGAGAGATCCAAGAAAAATAGGGGAGGAAGCTGTGCTGAACTTGAAACCTGTTAGGTAAATATGTTATTCCTGTAGTCAGTGTGCTTTGGTGGTCAGAGGGTAATTCGGAAGACACTGAGGGGTTTCCCCCATAATCTACAAGAGAAAACTGGTTACCTCCGTCCATCTTGCATATTGAAAAGCTGATCCACACCACTCTGTTCCTATTAATGGCTCTTAAAAACAGACCCGGAGTTTGAGACTAAAGAGGGGGCTTTCTCTGTGTTCCTGTCTTGCCTTTGAACAACTGCCGGACAGCAGATGGAAATGGGGATTTATTAGAGGTGAAGGGCTTGACCTTTTATTTTGTTAACGAACAGCATAAAAGCATAATTCTCCTTGAAGACGAGAGGGGCAGTTGGGTTCCACGGTCGGGGAGGAGGGGGTAATGAGTAGACCTGGCTAGGAGCTACAGCTCCTTGAGCTTCAGATGGGATCTGTGAAGCTCCACTAGAGAAGGACTTCAGGACCCACCCGCTGAGATTTCAGAGGCAAAAGTACAACAATCCAAAGCCAGTGTTTCCGCAATTTGATCCGTGGTGCCAGTTTTGTTCGGTCATTGCATGTGACCCTCAGTGTGAAGAGGCAGGGGACAAAGCCAGTGCGTCTGTCCCTCTGTGCTGGTGCGCCCTTTCCCCGTGGACTTCACAAACTCCACGCTGTAAAAATAATGCTTCCTATTTTGAAAAAAAAAAACATACAAAAACTGTGTTGCAATGCATGGATTAGCTATAATGAACAGCAAAGCTTCAAATGTTCACATTTATAAAGAATGTAACATTCTCCACTGGTCTATAACATCTACATAATGCATTATAAATTAAAAATAAGTGTTAAGGACAATTACAGCATGTTAGTTTTCAGCTAGATATAAATACTGGATTAAGGTTAAGGGGGATTCCTGTGTGTTGAGCTCCTGTGTACACACTGCCGTTTACACATAAACTCGAGACCATTTTCCCATGGTCAAGACACCTCTAAGCTTGAAGTTGTGTGTCTGGTTTTCATAGCAAAACGACGGACATTACTGAGTCAGCTACCCAGTCCTAGCTGCTCTTTAAGTGGCCTGGGGCACATGGTTATGAATAACTGGTTTTCCTAAGACACAGTTTGCGCTTCTTTGTGGCTAGTGGAGAGCGTGACCTTGACCTTGTGAAGTCCTCAACTTCAGCCAGGTCTCTGGTGAAGAATCTATGCCTAGAAAAAGACAGAGTTCAGGCTTCACAAACACGAATTACGTCACAGAAGTTAGCAAGTGCGCGGTACTGCTTTCCTTGATTTTAAAAAGACTTTTCCTGGCTGTAGTCTAACCAATTTTACCTGAATCTGATTGTATCAAGTATTTCTTTGAGGGGCAGTTTATGCCATGAAAATAACCATGGAAGGACAATTGTATTGCAGTCATGCTCTAACACTTGGTGATAAACTGAAGTGATTCCACACTGCTTACAGATCCATAGAAAAGCCCTTACACTGAACCTGGCTGGTGTGTGTCAGTCTGGATTGTACCCCACGAGAATGAAAACCAGGGGGAAACAAGATGACTTGGGTTTTCTTTTTGTCAGCTATGAGGAAAGGTGAGCTGAGTAACTTGGTCAGTCTACTTCGTGTGATAAATTAGCTCCACGGCCCATTTCTGTTGAGGTACCAGCCAGAGGCTCCCCCATCATCTTCCCCTTTCAGCTTCTGCTCCATCTAGTCATGAAAAGCAAAGCCTCCTCCAGCTACACAGGAAGTGTGGCAGGCATCCTCCCTGATATAAAAAATAAACAAGGCATCTGTCAGTCTTGCTGTCTCAGTCCTCCTGGCAGCAAACCACCATCTCAGTCACCGGGGTACCAAGGCTCCACAGTGATCCTTCTTTTCTGTCTCCCTGGTCTACACCTGGTCTACACATGCAGCCGCCACTCTACTTGGATCTACTAGACAGGACATTTCTCACACCGACACCACCTTCTCTTCCAGAATCTCTCTTCTCTTGGAGTTAATAATAATAATAATAAATCTTCCCCCTCCAAATCTCTGCTATAGGATCAAGTAGAAAAGTAAACCAGAACAATGTATATGCAACATAGCCTTGATTACAAGAACATATGTGCAATTGTGCAATATAGTTCAACTTACAATATAGATATGCAATATAAACCTAATTTTAAGAATACATGTGTATATTGAAAAATAGACAAAAATGTACATCAACAGCAGCTTTCTCACTATGGTGTGCATATTTTTGTGCTTGCTAAGATGTTTTGTGGGAAGTGTTATCCTAATAGTCACAAGACACATATCATAAAGCCTACTCATACCTCCTTTTCTATCCATGCTACCATTCCACCTTACTTCATTTTAGCTTACTTCACAACACCAACTATGTCTTCATCTAAAATTCCAAAGTCATTTGTTTGTGCAATCGAGATAGTGCAGGTGAAGTTTCTCTTCTGAGGCTCCTTGGGTTTTTTTATTTTTTTTAGTACACCTTAAGGAGCTCAGCATTATCCTCTCTCCAATACTGACATCTCAGAGGATGCCTAGAGAAGAAGTGTGTGTGTGTGTGTGTGTGTGTGTGTGTGTGTGTGTGTGTGTGTGTAAAATTTCTATTTATTTTTAAGGTTTTAAAATTATTTTTAATTATGTGTATACGCCTAAATGTGGGCATGTGACATGAGTTCAGGGCCCCACAGAGATCAGAGGCATGAGACTCCCCAGCAGCTGGAGAGACAGACAGTTTTGAATTATTTGAAGTGAATTCTGGGAAAGCAGTTGGACAGGTCCTCCCTAAGAGCAGCAAGGTCCCAGCCACTGACCTGTCACTCCAGGCCCTTTTCGTTGTTTTTTAAATGGAAATCAGTTTCAAGTTCTTTTCCTCATTCTCTGATTAATCTTAAAATGTTGGAGTGTTCCATGGATCAAGTGTAAATCTCTTTCTTCTTTATCTCTGTTTAGGCTCCAAATATGTCAAATCCTGTCTGGGGTCCTTTAAGACTATCCATGTCCACACAACTCACAAATTCTCAGCCCTACCCTAGACTCCCTACTGACATACCTAACTTCCTACAAACCAGTTCCTTAAACATCGTATAGCCATCTCACTCCTGCTATGCTCTAAATAATCAAATTTCTGGATTTCTACCTGACCCTCCTTTCCAGTGTCACTGGAGACTCCATTGTTCCACTTTGTCAGAAGAAAACTCTGGAAGTCTTGGAATCCTCTCATCCCCTCACAGGCCATAGTGCCTATACTCCCTGCCCGTACCTTCAATATAGACCTAATACTATCACTGTTCATTGCATTGTCTTTCACCAACCACCGAAATGAGTAGATGTTTTTCACAATTGATCTATTCCTCTGCTTCCTTCTGCTCCCATTCAGTTCTGTCTCCCAAATCAGTGTCGTATCAAAATGGAAATGAAACAGTATCTCTTGTTCAAAAGACTCCCTTCTCTGTGTACCCGCCTACCTGCAGGTTACAGTCAAAATCTTACAGGGGTGGAAAGCCTGGCTCTTCCCTCCCCATTCCCAATCCACTGTAGCTATGCTGGCTGCAGGCAGAGTCCTCAAATTTACCCACATCCAGATCTTATAGCCTTCGCCTCTGCCATACCCTTCCCCTAGAAAATCCTTCTTGGTTCTGAGTCTCTCTGTTTCAGGTCTCTGTGAAAAGCCCTCTTATGGAGTAGGCACTCAATAGGCATTGGCACATGCCCGAGCAAGTCGCTCAGTGTAGGAATTGAATGCTTTTCCTCATCAAAATCCACTGTAGCATTAGATCCCAAGCATTCATTATTTTCAAACTTGGGGCCTAAACTCTGCGCCTGAACATCCTGCTGCTTTTCATAGAGAGATACCAAATACCTTGGACAAGTCAAGGAGATTTGCTAAGGGATTTTTTCCCCTTCTCTCTGCATAGGAGGGGGAAACACACCACTGATTCTAATCTATGTCAAAGGAAACATAAATTCAATTTGGCTGAATTTGATCTTATCCAAAAGTTCAAAGGAACACTACGCATCGCCTACGAATGACCATGGGTGTACAATGCCCCGTCTTTCCTCTGCCTTTCTGTGTTGATCCTGGAAGGAAGAGCAAAGACACGCCAGAAGGTTCTAGTACAGCCTGGGACACTAGGCATCAATCAATTGTATCCAACAACCGTGCTATTGAGTCACATTCTCCCCTAATCCACGAGGTCTGCTTAACAGTGGTGTTCTCCTCTGTGTAAAGTACACTTCCTTAAATAACTATATTGCAATAAATGACCTTATTGCCCAAAGTATATAGAAGAAATTCTGTCCACGATTTCTACAGTTTCAGAGTCTAAGGAGGTGGTGTGCTAGAGACCCAGCATCCAAGAACAGAAACCTCAATCTGAATCTTAGTTTCGTTTTCCTACATAGTGCTGTTACCTTGGGTAAAGTTGTAACTCTTAACTAGCCCCAGTTTCCTCCTTGGTATTTGGTGACAAAAATGCTTACATCTGGACTGAAGATTAAAGACGACTGTGTATGCCCCCTCTCCACCAGAATGCCTGGAGCAGAGAACCTTAAGAACGTTTCCGTTACTATTCCATTTGAGTTCCCCACCATGCCCCAGCC